TATGTGACACCCCTCAGCTGCAGTCTGAGGTGGTATAGCCCATTCTGGCACCTAAATTTTGTTGTGTGTTTAGACCAGGCAATATGAAGGGCTGACACAATTTTAAAAGAAGCTGGCCTTTTTGAAAGGGCTGCATTTTTCACTACAGAGATAGGCCTAGATTTTTATTAAGTGTTGTGCTTTAGGTCCATTGAAATTAATGAGAGTTATGTTAAAGGTAAAGGTTCCCTTGCTCGAAAGCCAGTCGAGTCCGACTCTAAGATTGCGGTGCTCATCTCTGTTTAAAAGCCGAAGAGCCAGCGCTGTCCGAAGACGTTTCCGTGGTCATGTGGCCGGCATGACTAAACACCAAGGCGCACAGAACGCTGTTACCTTCCGGCCGAAGTAGTACCTATTTATCTACTTGCAATTTCTTGCTTTCGAACTGCTAGGTTGGCAGGAGCTGGAACTAGAGATGGGAGCTCACTCCTTCATGTGGCAACCCGGGTCTCGAACTGCTGAACTACTGACCTTCCACAGCCTGCAGTTCAGCGTAGGGATGCCAAATCCCCCCGGGGGGCGGAAAATCCCCCGCCCCAGAGGCTCGTTCCCAGACGCCGGGGAATTGGACCCGGGGGGAACCCCGCCCCGGCGTGCGCGTCACAGGGCAGTGACGTCATGACACCGGGCATGCTGGGGGCGGGGCCACGGCCATACAAGGAAAAACTCAATGGTTTTCCCTTGTATGGTCATGGCCCCGCCCCCAGCATGCCCAGCGTCATGACGTCATTGCCCTGTAATGCGAATGTGGCGCGAAGTGCACGCGCGCACACGCCAGGATCCCCCAGGAGTCCCCCACCGGCAAGGTAAGTCACAGTTGGCAACCCTAGTTCAGCGTCTTAACCACTTGAGCCACCGCAGCAATTATGTTAGTTGTAACTAAAATCTGATTGCAATGGAAGCTAAACCTGACTAATTTGCTCTGGATTGGAAACCAGACTATAGTCTATGAGGGCCTGATGGTGGATCCCCCTTTAACAACTGTCATCTGTTTCCAAAACTGAATGTTTTACAGCACTGAAAGAGAATATAGCTCTTATAATGTAATGGTTCAGTATAAGTCAAGATATCCCTGTTTAAATATCAGGGCAGCTATGAACAAATTGAGTGTTCTTAGACAAGCTACCATCTTCCAGTCTCAATTCCTGTTTGTATGAGAAAATCTCACAGGGTTGTTCTGGAATTATTGAGTTACGTGGAAACTCCTATGAAAAGTATTATAGGGTTGGTTTTTTGTTTTTTTTAATTGAAGCACATTTAAGAATGAGTTCAAAAAACAATTAGATGAAAAATACACACACAGCAAAAAATGCAAATAGGGTTAAGCCAATTCTGCTCAGCTAGTGAAAACTGTATTTTGAAAAATATATCTCAGGACCAAACATCAGCTGCTAGGCACCAAATCTGCTCAATGGTTCAAGTTAATGCAACAAATTACATTGGAGTGATGTATAAACTGCCACTTTAACCATTCTTGTTATATAAGAAGGACCTCAATGTCCTTGACCCCCATAATGGTGTGATCACTGACCTTGAGCGAGACATCCTGGAGTGCAAAGTCAAATGGGCCTTAGAAAGGATTACTAACAACAAAGCTAGCAGAGATGATGGTATCCCAGCTGAGCTATTCAAAGTCTTAAAAGATGATGCTGTTAAGTGCTGCTCTCAATATGCCAGCAAATTTGGAAAATGCAACAGAGGCCACAGGATTGGACAGGGTCTGTTTACATTCCAATCCCAAAGAAGGGCAATCCCAAGGTATATTCAAACTATTGCACAATTGCACTTATTTCACACACTAGCAAGGTCATTCTCAAGATACTACAAGCTAGGCTTCAGCAGCACATGGATAGAGAACTGCCAGAAGTACAAGCTGGATTTTGAAGAGGTAGAGGAGCTAGAAATCAAATGGCCAACATTCGCTGGATTATGGAGAAAACAAGGGAGTACCAGAAAAACATCTACTTCTGCTTCATTGACTACACTAAAGCCTTTGATTGTGTGGATCACAACAAACTGTGGCAAGTCCTTAAAGATATGGAAGTACCAGACCACCTCTCGTCTCCTGAGAAACCTGTATAAGGGTCAAGAAGCGACAGTTAGAACTGGATATAGAACAACTGATTGGTTTAGCATAGGAAAAGGAGTACAACAATGATGTATATTGTCACCTTGCTTATTTAATTTATATGCAGAGTACATCATGCAAAATGCCGGCCTGGATGAATCACAAACTGGAATTAAGATTGCTGGGGAAAAGATCAACCTCAGATATGCAGACGATACCACTCTAATGGCAGAAAGTGAAGAGGACCT